TCCTTTCAATTTCATTTTTTAAATTCATCAATCAATCCTTTCATTTATGTGATAGGCCTGCATTTAAAATGAATATTTACCATAAATTAAAGGTATCTTATATTATTAGATATATTATTATAAAACATGCTTTAGTTAAGGAGTTATTGATACTTCAAGTACAAAATGACGATATAAAATCATGATAAAATACACTTTTAAGTATTAATCACCAAATGAATTCTATTTTTTTCTAGAAAGTTAAGACAATTTCCTACAACTTTCATGTTTTCAAGTGGTTCTAATTCTGACGTTATCAATGACGTTTTAGCAGACAAAAGAAGATAATGATTGTCACCAAGTCAAGAATTGGCCACCCACTCATCAATTAGTTATAAAATCAATAGTTTCTAATCTTGGCTTATAAAAGGAGACATTTGTCATGCATTTAATGATCTCGGTATTCATATCAAGCTCATTCTCTTGCTTTCTCTTTTTGTATTTTTGTAATGCTTGAGTTTTATTTTTATTAATATCTTGTTTATACCTTTCAATTCCTTTTCTTTACTTAGTTAACTTTTATCTTATTTATATTTTTATCTTATTTATTTATGTTTCTCTCTTTCATTATGTTTAGTTAAGTTTATTATTATTATGTCAAGGTGAAAAGGTTACACTAATGGTGTAAGAATAAGTATAGTGTAAACTCAATATGGACTTTAATGTTTGATACTAACATGTTTTATAATCACTTTTTAATACTTTGTTTGTTAAATGACTAATCTGGATTTATATTGTATAACATTTGGTACAACAAATGCTTTACACTTTCATAGCTCAATTGTATGGTATAACCTATACCTGTACTATGAAAGGAACTTTATTTGTTGTTAGCATAAATTATAATTATGAATATCTCACAATATTTACAAGTATTAATATTATTTGAATAAGATAACTAATGTAATCATGTTAACAATTTATAATCGGATTAAACCTCCTTTATGTATCGTTTCCATTTGAGTAATAAGAGTTTATGCTGGATTGAACCTCTTTTATGTATCGTTTTCATTTGAGTAATAAGAGTTTATGCTATATTTACTTAAAATACCATTTGTGGATTCTCTAAACTTGATATTTGTTGTTATTATTATTTAATCCTTACGTTAATTTTTCATTTCCACGTTCTCCTCAACTTCTTTTTTTTTTTTTATTACTAATATTATTATTATTATTATTTTTGTTGTTGTTATTGTTGTGTTATTATTATTTATAATTTATACAATTAATTTGCTTGTGGTTCGACTCTGATCTTGTCAGTTATTTATTATTTTGATATTCCTATATTCGGAAGAAAATATCAATCTTTTGGTTATGTTAAATATAGAGTTATTTTATTTTATTATTTTATTAAAAATAAAATAATTTTTTATTTTTTTTTGTTTAGCCTATTTATAATCTATTTAGGTTAAACTAATTCTTATAATTATTTATTTTTGTATTAAAACTCCAATTCTTTTTATTTTTATTTTTTAAATTGTTTAACCGTCGCAAATGAACACCCTCCGCCACCACCACCCTTCACAGCCCCTACACCCACCCCCAAGCTAGCGGATACCATTCGCACAGAACACGGAGAGGAGACCACTTTTCTAGAAAGAAATATACTTTGAGATTCAATGATACCCTTATCCGTTAAGAAAAAAAAAAACCCTAAGCAACGTCTCCCATGAAGAAAACTACAAAAAAAATGAAATCATTATTTTATTATGTATTGAAAAGAAAACTTGTATGCATCCATGTAATAAATTCCTACATGGCTTAGCTACCGGAATATCCACAGCTCTTCATGATTTTTGTTGTATTACGATGCTTCAACTCTTTTTCATGCTCTACCATAAACTCAAGCAACACGGTCGATTTTGAATCAGATTGTCATTTTGTGTCCCCAAATCCACCAAAATCTGAAGCTTTTTAAATCATATGATGTTGGGATATATATGAAGCAGATTAGAAATGCTGAATTCGACGCATCAATCAAATCAAGGTTGATCGACCGCCTTTTCTTCATCGGAGGAGAGCTAGGTGAGCTCCTTCTTCAGCACGTGAAAACCCGTCTCTCCATGGTTCTTCCTTCCACAATCTCGCCTCCTCTCTTCTCTCTCCTGTTTTCATCACCTGTAAAAATAACGAGGCAGAGCATGAATTAGCCCAGGCCAAAGAGCCCTTCCTTCTAGTACAATTACCCTTCGTTTGTATAACACGCGCTCTTCAAGTAAAACAATCTTCAAAAAAGGCGGGGTGGGGGGCCCTTTTACACTCTCCTTCCATTCAAACCAAAGCTCTCTTTTTGATGGAAAAAAGTCACTAATCTCTCTCTCCTAACGAGTTAGGATTTGTTTTTTTTTTTTTTGCTTGAAATTATAATCGGGTACATTGCTATTTCCTTCTCGATTCTCTCTTTCTTTAATCATCTTGTTTGGTTTTGTTTTGATTATTGTTTGAGAAATCCTTGAATTTAGGGTTCTGTGGTTTTGATACTAAATCAGCTCTTGCATGTGCATGTGATGAGTTTTGATTTTGAATTAAGAGAAAAACCTAATTAGAAATGTAATTATTGAGTTTCAATTAAAATCCAAAACGGTTGTTGTTTCAATGCTGAGATCCTAAAGAATGCTTTTTATTTTTTATTTTTTTTATGGAGAGTTGGCTCTCTTGCTGGTTTTGATTCCTTTTTAACTTAAAAGTGCAGGTCTTTGACTGTCGATGCCGACTAATCCGAGAGTTGTGAAAGCCTTTAGGGCTATGAAGGCGCTTGGAATAAGCGAAAAGCAAGTTAAACCTGTGTTGAAAAAGATGCTAAAACTGTATGAGAAAAATTGGGAGCTTATTGAAGAGGAAAATTATAGAGCTCTTGCGGATGCCATTTTTGATGAGGAGGAGTCTAAGGTGCGCTTCTTTTATTTATTGCCTTTTCTTTGTAATTTTTTTGAAGGCTTTCTAAACGTGTTTGTTTGATATCTGTCTCAGGTTCCTGACGAGAATGATGATGCTACTGTAAGTGATTCGTTTCTTTTGATGGTAATGTTGTGTATGTTTTCCTGTCTGCCTATATCTTCTGACATGCCTCTTGGCTATTTTGACTTGCAGGAGGGAACTTTTGAGGAAAAAACTCGGATTTCTAATGAACCTGAGCGGCCGTTCAAAAGGTTGCGTAGAGGCCAAGATGGGCAAGGTTCCTCCCCGCCTAACAACAGCGACCTACTGTTGGCTGGAAGTCCTTTAAGAAAGCCTAAAGTGGAGGGGAAAGTGCTGCCTGGTGCAAAATCCCTACAGCAGTCTCTGGAAATGAGAAATTCACAACCCAGGCCTATTTCACTTCAGAATCCTGCTGGAAACATGAGCTCACAAACTATTTCTCCTGGTTGCTTGGCGGTGCAGGAACACTCTAGTCAGTCTGATTTATCTGATATGGATGGAACATTGTTGTCTGATTCACTTTTTTCATGGAAGCAGCGATCATACAAGGGAAAAGAACCTATATTACCTGAGGCTGCTCCACAAGAGAAAAGACCTAATTTAAAAGGATCATTGCAAGCAGTGCACATCAAGGACCCCGTAGTTCAGCCAAGCGCTTTTCTCTCACCCAAACAGAAAGTGCCTCATTCTCGTGCTCTGATCAAGCCTAAAGACGAGCCATTTACTGGTGACATGCCTTTTGAAGACGCTAGGCAACCTATTGCAATTATCCGACCAGGTAAATTATTCCACTCATGGGCACTGGGGAATTGAAGAGTACTGTTTCTAACCATGAATGATATATCTATTTTTTCCCCAAGTATTTAATTTGAATGTCAAAACTGCAATTTGTGTCTTTCTTATTGGTTGATTTTTTTTTTCTTGTGTAAAGGATTTGAATGTCGACTTGGCAATTGGTGCTATTCTTTTTGGGCTGATTTTGGTTTCTTCAACCTTCACAGATTCTGCAAGCAAAGAACAATCTCTTATTCAAAGAGTTTCTTCATGCAAACAGCATCATCAAGAACCTCAAGCATCCCAATTTTTAGCTGGAGAAGATATGGAAGATAATGTTCCAGTTTCATCAAGTCCGGCAAGAGATAGCTGTGAACTTGCAACCATTCCAGAAGACTCTCTGGCTAGCTTAGAGATTGCCACCTCAGCTCTGGGAGAGGTGAAGATTTCTCTGAGCTGCAACTCTTTGCTTGGAAGACCAAATTTTCATATGCCTAGTCAAGATGAACTTCTGAAATCAATGCAGGAGAAATGTCTCCGAACTTACAAAATCATCGATCCAAACTTTTCTGTCATGCAAATACTGAAAGATATGTGTGAATGCTTCTTGGATTTGGCAACTGATTCCTCTCATGAACATGAATCGCAGGAAAGGATTGTGAATGTAACACCAGCTCTTGATCTATTGAAGAAATCTGTTGGTGATGGTGGCATGATGAAAGAAAATAACCATGTACCAGCCTATGTTGCAAGGGGATCAGTTGATGCTCGTCACTTCGATGAGGTGGCTGCTTTTAAAATTCCAAGACCACTACAACCTCCGAATGTTTTGGAGGCTGTGCAGGTGAGTGAAGAGGCTATTGAAAATGGCTGTTCTGGAAGTGGCAAATTAAATGAATTTGGAGATGCTGAGTTTGGTAGTTTGATTGTGGTTCCACAGAGTCAACTGACTCCTGATGAGTTTAGGTCCCTTCATTATCGAACTGACATCACTAAGGGAGAGGAAATGGTTGAGATTCCATGGTTGAACGAAGTAAACACAGATTTTCCTCCATTTTTTAACTACATACCCCAGAATCTGATTTTTCAGAATGCTTATGTCAACTTCACTCTCTCTCAAATTAGGGCTGAAAATTGCTGCTTGGCTTGTATTGGTAATTGTTTGTTGTCATCTACACCTTGTGTTTGCTCCAGTGACACTGAGCATGGTTTTGCATACACTTTAGAAGGCCTTGTCAAGGAGGATTTCTTACAAGATTGTATCTCTCTGACTCGGGATCCTCAGCGACAATGCCTTTCTTATTGTAGAGATTGCCCACTGGAAAGATCAAAAAACGATGAGATATTGGAACCATGCAAGGGTCACGTGAAGAGAAAATATATAGAAGAATGTTGGAGCAAATGTGGCTGCCACAAACAATGTGGAAACAGAGTCGTGCAGCGAGGTATAAGGTGCAAGTTGCAGGTATGGGTATTGGAATTTATTCAATAGAATTCAATTATCAAAATTTGTTAAATATTAAAAGTGGAAAAAAAACTAGCAATAAAATTTTATTTATAAAATAATTCCCAATAGAAATCCTCAAATACACAGAAATTGAGAAACGGTAATAATTATTTGGTTCGTTTTAGAATACAAATGAACAATACAAGCGTAATATGGAAGGACAATAAAGGTTAGTGTTAAAAAGACAGTTAATATGGAAGTTAGTGAAGGTTAACACAAAACAGTTTAACTATTAGCTAGGTAGTTACGTTAGTGTTTTTTTTTTTTTTTAAAAAAAAAGAAACAAAGAATACTTTTAAATATGGAAGTGCAATAGAGGTTATAACCTTTAACGTAAATAAATAAAGTGTATGAAATTCTTATTTTAAGAAATGTAATAAATTTTAGTCAAATCAAATGTTTGGACTTATTTTGGATTGTCGTTCTTTATATAAGAAATATAATCACACAAAGTTGTTCCTCAAGTATTCTGATGTCCTCATCTTTCTTCACAATTTTTCCTCATTGCTAATTCTTTTTGTGCATCAGGTTTTCTTTACCCCTGAAGGAAAGGGGTGGGGTCTCAGAACTCTGGAATTGCTACCAAAAGGTACATTTGTATGCGAGTATGTAGGGGAGATACTAACCAACAAAGAGTTCTATGAGAGGAAGATGCAAAGGACAAGTAGCAGCAGGACTGAGAAGCATGCCTATCCTGTTCTACTTGATGCAGATTGGTGCTTGAAAGGAGTTGTAAAGGATGAAGAAGCTCTGTGTTTGGATGCGACATTTTATGGAAATATTGCTAGGTTTATCAATCACAGGTAAGTCTATATATCTGGTGCATATTTGATTTGATGAGTTGATCTCCTACGGAAATTGTTTCTGTTTTCTCTTTTTAAACTTTTCAGTTGGTTTTCCTCATTTCACATGAACTGGAAAAGGACTTGATTTCAATCTGAAAAAGAATTGATGAAAGGAGGACATGAAATTTCTGCCATACATAAGAAACCTCTCTTGTGGCAGCAATCAATGAGTTGATGCATTCTGATATAAGTTCTTGCGTTCTTGTTAGATGTCTTGATGCAAATATGATTGAAATCCCCGTGAAGATCGAGACCCCTGATCATCATTATTATCATGTATGGATACTTCATTAGGATTCTTATTATCATGTGTTTATTAGATTATATTCTCAAATTACAAAGTCACATTGGATCAATTTTTTCAGCTTGCTTTCTTCACAACAAGAGAAGTGAATGCCTTAGAAGAGTTAACATGGGTGAGCAATGTTACTTTAGTTATCCATTAATTTTTCACCATTCTGCTTATCTGTTACATAAGCCTCGTTGCTTTGATACTTTCCAATGAGGAGGTGTGGTTGGCATTATACTGTGTTTCTGAAATAAGTCACAGGTGGAAGTAGATTCTATCATGTATGTTAGTTATTTTGTGTTGTGAGTTTTGACATCGTTGTTTCGTGAGAAATGATGTCAGGTCTTTTACTGCTGTTGAAATTACAAAGATAGTACATCTAAATGTTCGCCTTTTTAAGTGACCAGGAGCTATAAATTTATTGTAGCTAGGACATGGATTTGGAAATTACATATATACACTAGTTTCTGTTACTTGTCCCTTGCTCTTCAATTTTACAATTTATATCACATGTGCAATCATTCTGGACTCTTAAGAATTGATGGCTGATGTGGCTGCAGGATTATGGTATTGATTTTGATGATACTGATCAACCTGTGGAGGTATTCCCATGCCGATGTGGCAGTAAGTTCTGCAGGAACATGAAACGTTCAAATAGTAAGTTTATTCTAAAGAGAAGTTTATTCTAAATCTTTATGAGGCATGGGGTTGAGCAACTTGGAAATTTGGCCCATTTACATTTCAATGACATAAAGATTCAATCTGTGTATGATGCCCTCTTGATGCCTACAAAACTTTCCTTGGATGCTGTAGAGTTTGCTAGGTTTAAGATCCAAAACCTATGGTTTTCAGGTCTCAAGGATAGCCTAGTAATGCCAAACTCTGTTCGCACCAGTGACAGGTCGTATAGATTCGAGCTGGCAATTAATTTTGATTTAAATTGGGAATGCAGGGATTTTTAAAAACCCATCTTTGTTCATTATCAAATATGGTGCTTTGCATTGGAGATTTCCTAGGGATGTATTTGAATGATATTCAACAGGATGGGATAGCACTTTTATATTAGAATTTTATTTTTCCAATTCAAAAGATGCTTTTATCCTCCATTTCTATTTCTGTATTTTGCTTAATCAAATTTTATGATATTGCAGCTCGTTATTTGTATTTGATAGCCCTTGGTGCTCCTCTACATTATATTTCAGAGGGTTGTATGTCGGTGAAGTCCACATATCTTGTTAAAATTGGCTGCCTTGGGCGGAATAACATAGGTCCTTCTAGATTTCTTTTGCATGGCTTATTGCCTGCCCCGCCCTCCCCATACTGTGAAGACTGGGATTTGGGGAGTGACTTCGTTGTTCTTGGGATGCTCTGTTGCTTGCAACATTTTGTTCTTGTGGACTTCATTTTCCTTCTAATGATCACCTTTTGCTCTGGTGCAGGATCTAATTCAGCAGCAAGCTGATCAGATGGGCAGATTATGAGACGGCCTCATTCTTCCACAATCCCATCCATGACGAGATTTTGAAGTGGATTTGCGCAGTTTTTCTTGGTCCTGCTGGCGATCTTGTCGAAGTCATATGATGTTATTTTGTCAAGCTGGATGGTTAATTGGCAGTGGGTCGTGCATGGCCCTAAAAATGTGTTTATGATGTATTGATTGCATAATCTACCATCCCAGTATTGAATTTTGTGTCTAAATCTGGGATTTCGTGCGGCAGCTCGGCAACAACTGGGTCATGTTTGTCTGTTTATTGTACAGGATTTTGGCTTTGTGATCTGCCCTCGTTCTGAGTCCTCCATCATATCAGGCATAAGTCATTTTTATCCGCTTTTGATTGCTCCCCATCGAAGTTGGGCATCATGGTTTGGCCACAGGCTGCTATTTGCTGGAGAGAGAGATTCCATACAAGTGCAACGCGGTATGGCTTGTTTTTGCACAAGCTGCTGCTGCTATGCGCTAATCCTATGCTAGGCACCATCCATGACCTAGTATGGAGATGCCCCTATGAGTGCTTGGAAACCAACGATCAATTCCTTTGAAATGGCAACATGATGGCATTTGAAGTAAAATGAGGAGATCACTGTGTGATTTCCTAGCAGATTATTAGTAAGCAGTTGAAAACCTTAGAAAGGTCATCCTCTGGAATGCATCCTAGCATTCTTCGACCATGCAAGGAAGCCCTTTGAACTATTTAACCAAGAACATGCCAGGATTCTATGGAGTGATTGTTGCTGTCCTGTTGCCAGCTCGAAATCTATGGCGAGGATGGGCAGATTGGCCGCCTTCTTTTAAGCTGTTTGGTTGCAAAGAACAACAGGTACATTTCGTCAAGTTAGATAATGCAAAAACAGAATTCAATTCTCTGCTGGACAACTTGCATCTAGTATGGCTGAACTCGTGCAACCTCTAGGGTATGTTTTAGGGATTAAACATATCAACAGTTATCTTCTCAACGCAGGGCAATGAGGGCATTAAAATTGTGAAAGTAGCATGTTGTGCGAGCAGATTTTATTGTCTTTGAACGTCCGAATGAGGCATCCATGCAATTCAGGGGCATTCACCGCATGTCAGCCATACACAGGTTGACATTAATCTTGCATCACAGACAGTCAGGTTCGTCATTAAATAAAGCATCATCCACTTGCATATGAAGATAAGGCGTGTGACATTATCTGCACGGCAATTCTGATGCTACATTTTGGCGAACCATCCCATGCTCTCCATGACAAAAATCTTGTATCTAGCATCAAGAAGAAACCACAACTGATCACATCATCATACATCAATCTCCTTAAGAGGACGTTTTGCAGTCCTCCAATTTCCTTCCGATATCTTCACGAATCCTGTTTGGTAGTTCTCCTTTCCACCTTTTGCTATTTTACCTCCGATCCTCTCATATACTCAGTGATCCTGTTTGGTAGTTCTGTTCGCTAATGACAAAGACTCTCTATTGTGAGGGGTGGAGAGGAGGACATCATGCTCACATCCAGAAGGCATAACAGGACAAATGCTGCCTGGATTCAGTGGGAAGAGTACTTTGTAGTAACCATCCATAATAGCTGAAAAATTGCATGTTTCAGCAACCTTTGGCATCTGTTCATGGCACAAACATCAAGCCATTGCAACCATGAAGTACATGAACCTAAATAAAATAACAAATTGCACAACATTTATCTTTTGACGAGCTTGAAAAACAGAGGATGGATATGACTACCTGATAAATGTCACGCATGTAGCCATGAAGATTAGGGTACTCAATCAGCTTCTTCTTTGTGCACTTAAACAGAACATTATACACAATATCAAACCGAATTAGAGTGGTAAACAAGCAAACATCCGCAAGAGTCAATGTGTCTCCACACAAGTATCGCGAGGTGGTCAGATGATCTTCCACCGCCTCCAGTGTAGTGAATAAACCATTCACTGCACTGTCATATGCATCTTGACTTTGAGCAAACCCACACCTACAATAACAACGAATCATTCATAAATCCTTTTTACCTTTACCCACAAAGAATAAAGAAAAGAAAACGTAAAACCCACGAAGATTAAAACCTTACCTATAAACCCCATTATTGACATTAGGATATATTAATCCATTCCACTCCCCAATCTTTCCCTTCAATTCCTTTGGTGATAAATCCAAACCTGGGTTCCGGGCCAACCCGTTAAGACCCGAATTGAAAAACTCGATTATATCATAGCTCTCATTACACCCTACTTCCTTCTTCTCCACATCCCATAACATTGGCACAGTAGCTCTCCCACTGTACCCACCTGACCTCCTTAACCCATACACACCCTTCAGATTCCGGCACCCATTAGCATTATCCCTACCCGGGACAAGAATATTCCTATCCCTGTTTGAGATAGGAATATCTTTGAATTCCCACGATCCATCTTGACCCGGTCCAGCAATTGAGACAGGGACCGCATCTTCCAGGCCCTTCAACGCCCGAACTATCAATGTCCTGTGCGCCCATGGGCAAGGTAAACCCACGTAGAGGTGAAGTGTTGTTGAGTTTTGGAGCGTAAATGGAGGGTTCAGGCGGAATTTTGAGGCGGGTCTTGTGTACCTGCCGGAGGAATCAGAGGGAGCGAGCTGGGACATCATGAGTTGCCACGTGGAGTTCCATGTTGTACGGACGGTGGATATTAGGAGTCCTGGTGGCAGTGACTGGCCCCACAATAGGTTTGTTATTGTGGAAACGATGGTTTTGGGGTTCGGTGATTGTTGATCAGGAGGGGTAGTTTGATTCAGGTATTGTCTTGGGATGACGTGGCATGAGAAGCGGTGGGTTTTTTTGGCGGCGGCGGCGCTGGTGGTGGAGAAAATCGGAAATTGGGAGCTGAGGAGTAATACATCGGACATGATGACTCTACAACGTGATAAAATGGTCATTACAGGCCTGTCTCCCGTTTGTTATTATTATAGGCCTTACAGTCATTATCGTTATTGGGTAGGGAGAAAATGGTAACTATACAAGAATGTAAGCTTAAACGGTATCGTATTCAGAATAGCTAACAGTTAGGCTGCCTCTCGCCAATATTGAGAGTCGGGCTCCTAAATCATCAAGAGAGTTTATTAAATTCATTTAAGTGCCATTTATTGAATGTGAAGATGTATTCTTAAAAAATAAATTATTTACCTGTTTTACGTTACAGGTAAGATTAAGTTTTTAACAAAATTAAAAAAATATTTAATTATTACTAATATATTTTTTAAAGAAAAAAAATTCAAAATGTATAAAAATTGATATGAAATAATTTGTTTAGCTTGGCAACACTAAATATAACCCGGATAATCATAAAAAAACAAAATTTGATTGAAAAACATGTTGAACTATAATTTTTTTTTTAAAAATATTAAAATAACAATATATTGAATCGATTGGGTTAACCCAAGTTAACAAATAAAATTTATGAATCAAGTAATGAGACTATGATAGTCTCATAAAAAAGCAAATAAGAATATATATTGAAGCTCTTAGTCAACGTAATGGTAAAGAATAAAGAAAAAAATTAATAAAAAAATAAAAAAATGAGTCAACCTAAATTGATTTGTTAAATTATAATGTTTAATTTTCAATCAATCCGACATTGAAAGATAAAATAAAAAAAAATCAATTAAAAAATATTTGAATCAAACTAATTTAGCCCGTCAAACCCTTGACTTGGATTATAAGATTAAAATAACCTCACAAAAAAATAAAAAAAAATATAAAATTTAATTCTTAATCAAGCTAAATGATGAAGGATGAAAATGAAAAAAAATTAATTATATAGAAGGAAAAAAAATTCAAATCAACTAAGTTAACCTTCAAAAATCGTTACTTGGGTAATAGATTAAAATAAATCCATAAAAAATAACATGAAATAAATTATGAAACTTGATTCTTAATATATATATATATATATATATATATATAGACATTGTAAAGAGGAATTTCCCCTCCTTAATTAGTTTAGGTTAATAATATCTTAAAAAATAACTTATTTTTTTAAAGAATTTATCATTGAACAAAAATAACGTTAAAATTTATCATAATTGATAAATTATATCAAAAAATTATTACATAGACATGATGATGGACAATAATCTAAGTAGAATTTTGACATAATTATTAAATTTGTTGACATTTTTTTGTGATGGATGCATTACTAATTACTTTATTTCATAATTATACATTCTAAATGTGATTGACTAAATATATAATTTGTACAAATCTAAGTATTTGTGATAGTTTTATTAATTTAGTCCATGATCTGGATTAATTTTGTATAACAATATTTTTAATAATTTTCATAGTTTCATAAATTATATATTTAATTTTTTTTTTTAAAAATTAGTTACAAGTTAATTATTTTCATCCATTTCATTTTCTTTTAATTTTTTTAATCCTTAACTAAATATAGAAATAAAGTCCATAATATAGGGACATCAATGAGAAAAGATGTGTTATATATATATATATATATAATTGTTGACATTATTTTGTGATGGATGCATTACTAATTACTTTATTTCATAATTATACATTCTAAATGTGATTGACTAAATATATAATTTGTACAAATCTAATTATTTGTGATAGTTTTATTAATTCAGTCCATGACGTGGATTAATTCTGTATAACAATTTTTTTGAATAATTTTCATAGTTTCATAAATTATATATTTAATTTTTTTAAAAAAAAATCAGTTACAACTTAATTATTTTCATCTATTTCATTTTCTTTTAATTTTTTAATCTTTAACTAAATATAGAAATAAAGTCCATAATATAGGGACATCAATGAGAAAAGAAGTGTATATATATATAAAAAAGCATGCATGACACTATAATGATTTATTAATTTAGGGAAAGTTATCCATCAATCTATGATTTGGATAAAATTGTATTAAAAAATTATACTTTGTAGTGCACGGAACACTTTATCTTTTATATCTCTTCCATTTAAAAAAAGTAAAAAAATAATATTTACTATTTTACATGTTTGTCATTAATTTTCATTTAATGTCTAAAATTCCCCTAAACACAATAAATAACAAAAATGTCATTGAGTTTATTGTTGATTTTTTTAAAAAAAAATATAGTTGTAACTCCCACCTTTATTGATTACAACAATACCACTATAAACAATTATTTAAGAATAAAAACATTATTTTGTTCTCAAAACACCCTAAAAATTACAAAAAGCATGACAACATCATTTTCTTCTCAAATAACCTCCAAAAGTTCCAAATTCTAGCAAATTTTAAAAAGCATAAGAACACCATATTGTGCTTTAATCTTCACTTAATTTTCACCTAACAACATTGCTAATCACAACCTAACATACATTGCCTCAGTCTCTATCAAATTTAACAAATAAAACACTACATCATCAACATACCATCATCTACATCAAATGCTACTTAGAAAGTTGTAATAGTTTGGATGAATTCAAGTTCAAACGTAGAAGGTGCAAGAAATGTTAAAAAAAAAAAAAACTGTTAGGATATTGAAAATAAAAGCTAGTAAGAACAAGTTATTCTATAGATGTGATGATACGTCATACGACGATAATTTCATTACTTGGTGTAAACCTATAAATGAAATTGAAATGATTGTAATAGGTGGAGGAGGTTCTTATGATATCGATCGAATACTAGATGAATTGAAGAAAATGAAAGATGAACTACGTACAGTTTAGATCAAGAATTGTATTATTATGTTGTTTATATCTAACGAATAAAATAAAAACATAAGGCAACTTTGATCCACGACTACATAACATATATAGTGCAAAACATTTTAAATATTAGTTGTCTTATCGAAAAGCATCAACATTAATTTTTTTTTACCAAAAGCATCAACATTCAAACACATTTAGAAAAATCATAAATATTCTAACATTCTTAGCAATGACAGCACTAAAAATCACCAATCTTTTTTCATATATTTCAATCAATCAGCCTACTTTTGGATAAAGTGTTGAGAAGATATAAATATGCTAATAAGCTTTTTAAAGATCACATAGATTATTCAAATTAGATATTCATTTAAAACTAAAGAAATATTCAGGTGCCCTAATAAAATCACATGTGTAGAGGATTATGATAAGGATGTATTAATATCACCTTTAGTAAATTTGCTACATTTGCCACTATTTGAGTCTCTCATAGCACCATTACTAGATTTCCTCTTAATTATACCACCTCTTAAGCTTCTTATAGCATCAATATTGGATCCCCTTTTAGATCTCCCAACTTTACCATAACCTCTACCCGAAATCTATTAAGCATTTTCCCTTTAGCAAGTTCTAGAATTATGGTTATATTGCTTGCAATTATTGTATCTAAGTGTTGAAGCCCTCTTCCTTACCATACCAGGTTGATCATCTTTATCTTTCTTTATTTGATCCTTTCTTAATCTACCAATACACCTTTTCAAGTTAGGGGGGAGTAATACCATCTCTTTCCTTTGAATCGAGATCAACTTCAAATAAGGTTGCACAACAATACAATATGCTTTTATCAAGATTTCAACACTATAATATATGACATGATCAAAAAATTGATATCTTTTTCTAAGTGCAGGAGTGCCAAAATAATAAATAATCCAGTAAGATCGAGATCGAACCATAGGAAGGTGAACTATATAAAAATTACAATAACAACAAAAACAACAACAACAACAATAACAATAAGTTAAAGAGGACTTTGAGATGTAAGATTAATATGAAGATTAAACAATGATAAAAACAGTTATCAAGGTTAGAGGATCTACTAATAGTATTTTAAATAAGTATAATATAAAGTCTTTTTATTACTCAACTGAAAATCACTCACAAAGAAGGTTCCAATCAAATGATTTATCCTTAATAGTTCATTATAAATTTTAACATGATCATATTAATTATCTTATTTAAGTAACACCAAACTTTTAAATATTGTCAGGAATTCATGATACTAACTTATGTTAACAACAAATTAAGTTTCTTCTATAGCACAAGTATAGGTTATACTATACGGTTGGCTATGAAAGTGCCAAACATTTATTGTACCAAGTGTTATACAACACAAATCTAGATTAACCATTTAACAAGTAAGGTATTAAGAATTAGTAAGATAAAAAGATAAGGCATGTTAATAACAATCTTTCTTATATATAAACATTGAAGTCCATGTTGAATTTATATTATACCCATTCTAATACCATTATTGAAACCTTTTCACCTTAATATAATAAAATTAACTAAACATAATGAAAAAGAGAAACATAAATAAATAAGATAAGAACATAAATAAGATATAAGTTAACTAAGTAAAGAAAAGAAGATGAAAGGCATGAATAAGAGATTAATAAAAGAAAAACTTAAGCATTACCAAAAATATAAAGAGAGAGAGCAAGAACATGATCTTATGTCTAAATGCATGGTAAATACCTCCTTTTATAGGCTAAAACTTGAAACTATTGATTTGTTGACTAATTATTGAGTGGGTGGCCACATCTTGATTTGGTGACAATTCTTATCTTTTGGTCTGAATAAAACGTTATTTCTAACATCAGAATTTGAGTAAATTACCCGCATGAAAGTTCTAGGAAATTATCTCAACTTTCCAATAAAAAAAATGAGGTCATTTGGACTTCTAGAACTCGAGATATGGGCTGAACACTGAATAGTGTCTAAGTTGTAAAATAAATTTTAACTTCTCCATTGTTGCTATAATTTGAACTTGAAAATAGCCTTTTTGAATCTTGCATTTGTATAAAATTTTTAGGCCCATGTCTTCGCTTTCAATCCATATAGAGCATATCCAAATCCAAGTTCTATAGCTCCAAATATGACTCAATAACTGAACAATGTTCTAGTTTGGACTGAACTAACATCTCTTTTCTAAACTTAACCCTCTCTTTGTCTTCTCAATTTCAGTAGTTAAA